GCATTTATTTACATTGTGAATTAATTCCAATGTACTTTAGAAAAATTGTAAAAGAACTTTATCTTCAGTAGTGTATCTTATATTAGGATCTTTAATTCGCAAGGATGTAAAAGTTCTTTGAAAGTTAAAAAATTATTTCTTATCAGAATTGTCATACTTTTTCAAAATCAGCTTTAGGATTTTATTTATAGTAACAGCTTAAATCAATGACGTTCAGTCTTTAAGACCAAAGTGTTGATATTTTTTTATGTATATATAGAAAATTCTGAACAACAAGTACAACAAAATATATGAAGGTATTAGAGTACCGCTACGAAAGATGTACTTGATTCTGATTGGTCAATTAAAATTTTTGTACAAACTTTTTGTGAACTTATCAAAATAGTGGAACATCTTCATTATCAATAACTGATACAAAGGCGTGCTGACGACTTTACAATCAATGTAATTAAAAGTAAGGTAATAAAGCGATCAAAATTTTGATGGTGTCAGCTGATTGGTCAAATCAAAGTGAGGCTAAAACTATAAAATGTGTCTGAGAATCAAATCAAGCAGTCATTGGTTAAAGGGCAATTACATAAGACTTTGTCTCAGTCTTGTCTGACTCTTTGGAGAAGTATGTTAATAACATTACGTAGATAAATGTTAATGTCTTAAAGCATAATTTCTCACCTTCCATTTGGTATATATCCATTGCTGGTACAGGCAGCAGCTCCACAGGAACAATGGACTCTCATCTGGGACTGATAGTAAAATCTTTGATAAAAAAAATATGTTTAATTCTCGGCAAGAATTAGTGTGTAAATCGGAGACGCAAGAGGTATTTCGTCTGTCAGTGTTGTCGCAGGATACCACGGACAATGGTATAACATGCAGCACGATGCAGCGTTATGGATAGAGACATTCTTCGGAATTGTTATTAGGGCAATTGACTTTTATTGTACATGTTAACAATCCTTTGTCGTCAATTCCACAGGATCATGACGCTTATCTCTCAGTGATTTGATAACACTGTTAAAAGGTGCTGTAAAATGACTCCATGTTATTGTATAGTAGAAGTTCCAGGTCACGTCGATACAGATCTTTGCATGTCCGTCGAAATTTCTGTTACAATCATGACAAGTTCAATAAAATACTAATATGATTGGCTATCAGAAACAGGTTATCTGATTAGCTGATACATATTAACATGACCTGCTGATGAAAAGTTATTGGAAATGTGGCGTTCCGTATGATGAAGTAATGATCCAATTCTGTTGTATTTGTATTGAGACACAGACATCAATTTCCAACGACGACTTTTAGTGTCGCAGTACCCTCACAGTGTATGTATAGTAAGATATTGGTTCTCACAAACATGTTCTGGGCATTCTCCAATGAATCAAAAAAGTCAGCACTTTTCACATTGATGTCGTAAACATTCCTCTATTTTTAAAATACAGCAAAACAAAGCCTATCAAAATATTTCTTGCCTTTTTTCGAAATCTGAAAATATCCTATCATACTGTCCCTAATTTTATCCTAATTATTTCACTGATGGAAAAATTTGCTGCTTTATTTATAAATTGATTTAGAAATAATTTTCAATTAAATGTTTGAAGAATAATTATTCTGCATTAAGAAAAGTTGAAAAGCTGATGTGATTGTTTTCTAAGTTAAGGGTTAAGTCCAAATGCATGTATTTAAGAATTAAATATCTCATGCTGTACACTGCTGAAAAAAAGAGTAAAAGATCCATACAATTTTGTTGATAAAATTCCTGGAGAAATTTCTTCTAGAAAATAATGTAATTAATAATCCTACCCAACAGTTTACTCACTGATGCAGGGTACTTAAGTTCCAAGCGTGTTCGAAATCATACAGCTTTTGTCAAAGTAGAAATGTAGAATCTGTGAACTAGGATATTGGGAGGAAGTCGACTGGGGAATAACTGACTCAGGGATGAGATAGGAAAAGCCAACGGTCTCGTCAAGAACAATCAATAACGTTCAACTAATGAGTCGGAGCAAGGGGTCTAAACAGGCAAAATATCAAAAATGTCTAATACGGGAAAACCTTATTGCATAAATAGGTCATCAGAATGGTTTTGATTGATAAACAAGATTCATACAATCAGCAGCAGTGATATTTAGAAATTACAGATCGTCAAATAAATTACTAATAAAATACCTAGGTGTGTTGCACTGTTAATGAGCACCAGGAAATGTCTTGGTCTGGTGTATAATTTAACCCAAGTTAATTGCAGTCATCAAGATGTCTGCTACCTCCAATTTTTCTATCATACAAGAGTGATTTAGTTATTTTCATTGAGTTGCGTGGAAGGGGACAGGAATGAATTCAGTAAAAATGACTATCATCCTTACTCTTCGACAAAACAACAACATTTATTTACACTATGTAAAGCTGAGGGATCATATTCTTCGCTACGTAATCTCACTTCAAATAAGCTTAGGAGTATCAAAGATCAGTGGAAATATACTACTAATTTAATCCATTTTTACTCCGTTGGTTTCAAGTAGGACTTTAATAGTAATGTTATCAGAAATAAATTTGCTTGCCTCATCATTTTTATTGAAACACAGACTGTTATTGTAGACTTATGATTGGTAGATGTTTGTGTTGTTTCCAGTTGGTTTCAAGTTTTTACACTTGGTTTGGCTGCATGTCTCGTCAAATGCTTTTGTGTCATGCATGAGCGCATCTGGTGCTCCAGCAGCTGAACCTCTGGAGACACATTTCTGGCCTTTCTGTATCTTCTGTGCATTTGATCCCTATGTAACACAATGGATACTCCATGAATGCTGTGAGAGATGTTGATGTTCTAGGAGTATACATAAAAGAACATAACAACATCAGTGTTTTTATGGTAATCTGACCTTTCCTATTTTTACACCCTGACCCTACAATTTGTTCTCTATTTCATTGTTAACCAATAAAAAATTTAAATAAAAAGTATTTCTGAATAATCTCCCCTGTTTTGCAGAATATTAGTAGAAACAACTATTAAGACCTCTTTTTAAAAATCAAGGAGAGAAATATATAAAACACTGTGAGATGTTGAGTTAGATGTGATTCAGTTTTCTTCCAACTTCAGTATATAATGAATTTGATTTTTTATATAGTTGTTCAATATGCCGTTCCAGGAGAGAGGTCTTTAATCAATATATCAGCTCATTCTTGAGGTACAAGGTTATTTAAAGTGAGTGGATATAAAAATATTATTATGTTATTTTAGCGAAACAATGACATTTTCAGTCTACAAAGATTGTGGATTTACCATTCCTTTGTAGTAGGTAGCTTTGACAGTCCTTCTCCTAAGTCCATCTTGTAAACAATGCTTTGTAATAGCTTATCTCTGGGACCAATGTAATGGAACGGATCATTTTATGTATGATCATTTCAGAAGGGGTTTTAAAGTTTATGTGTTTATCTCATTTTAAGTGTGACCTGGCATATTAGAAATCTGACATGCGAAAATAATGAAGGGATCAAAGTCTTCATGTTATTTGCATTTCTTAACTAAACTTATTGAAAGGGTGATCTTGACCATGAACAGACATATCTATAACGCTGCTAAATGTGACATGACAGTTTTTGCAGCCATATTGGGTGGCAAGATAGTTGCCGGCTTTTGACAATCAAAATGATCTACTTCTCAGAAAAAACAAGAAGTTGGAAGGACTCAGAGGCTAAAATTTAGACTTGTGTGTCTTTTCTTGTTCTTTTCGTTGTGTTTACAAGTTCCTGCATCCTTACTCCAACCTGACTGAAGAATAATTGATATCAATGGGTAAATCTGTTTCTATATATTTTTTAAATGCAGATCCTTTTTTCAAATTGATACAGATAAAATGATCAAAAGTTAACGATTTATTCTCATTCAATAAGATATAAGCCATAACGGTATTGTGATTTATTGGTTTGTACTTGGCTGGCTTAGAAACAGTGCCAAACCTATAGGGTTTCTTTATCAACAGTTTACCCTTAAACCCCTTAAAACAGACTTAGAACGAGCCAAAGCCTCTAAATGGGTAACCCACAGAGGAAAATTAGTGAGAAGAAGTATTGGGTCATATTAAAAAGGTCCTAGAATATATCTTATCATCCAGTACAGTTTATTGGGCAAATCTTATGGGACCAAGTGTTCTCTATAAGTCTCAGCGTTTCACTTTAGAATCTTCGGCTCTCATGCAAGCATGGTCTATCTCATGTTGATAATTAGCCTGTCAGATGTACATTGACTTAAGAGACACTGATGATTGACTCAAACAATAATTATTAGGGGATCCAAAAGGGAGAAATCTGACCCAGATAAACATGACATTATAAAAAGATATATGATGATGGCCCAAATGTATTATTTATCAGGGGATCAAGAAGGGTGGATTCCTTATCTAGATCTACATTGACTCAAGAGACACCTTATGATGGCCTCAAAGTACTCATTAGGGGATCAAGAAGGGTGGATTCCTTATCTAGATCTACATTGACTCAAGAGCCACCTTATGATGGCCTCAAAGTACTCATTAGGGGATCCAGAAGGGTGGATTCCTTATCTAGATCTATAATGACTTAAGAGACACCTTATGATGGCCTTAAAGTACTTATTTGGGGATCCAGAAGGGTGGATTACTTATCTAGATGACATTGACTGAAGAGACACCTTATGATGGCCCCAAAGTATCAAAAATTATTAGGGGATCCAGAAGGGTGGATTTCTTATGTAGATCATCATTGACTTAAGAGACACCTTATGATGGCCCCAAAGTACTTCTTAGAGGATCCAGAAGGTAAGATTTCTTACATAGATTTACATTGACTCAAGAGACACCTTATGATGGCCTCAAAGTACTTATCAGAGGATCCAAAAGGTGAAGATTTCTTATGTAGATCTTCATTGACTGAAGAGACACCTTATGATGGCCCCAAAGTACTTCTTAGAGGATCCAGAAGGTAAGATTTCTTACATAGATTTACATTGACTCAAGAGACACCTTATGATGGCCTCAAAGTACTTATCAGAGGATCCAAAAGGTGAAGATTTCTTATGTAGATCTTCATTGACTGAAGAGACACCTTATGATGGCCCCAAAGTACTTCTTAGAGGATCCAGAAGGTAAGATTTCTTACATAGATTTACATTGACTCAAGAGACACCTTATGATGGCCTCAAAGTACTTATCAGAGGATTTCTTATGTAGATTTCTTATCATCTTCATTGACTGAAGAGACACCTTATGATGGCCCCAAAGTATCAAAAATTATTAGGGGATCCAGAAGGGTGGATTTGTTATCTAGATGACATTGACTGAAGAGACACCTTATGATGGCCCCAAAGTATCAAAAATTATTAGGGGATCCAGAAGGGTGGATTTGTTATCTAGATGACATTGACTGAAGAGACACCTTATGATGGCCCTAAAGTATCAATAATTATTAGGGGATCCAGAAGGGTGGATTTGTTATCTAGATGACATTGACTGAAGAGACACCTTATGATGGCCCTAAAGTATCAATAATTATTAGGGGATCCAGAAGGGTGGATTTCTTATGAAGATCTTCATTGACTCAAGAGACACCTTATGATGGCCCTAAAGTATCAGTAATTATTAGGGGATCCAGAAGGGTGGATTTGTTATCTAGATGACATTGACTGAAGAGACACCTTATGATGGCCCTAAAGTATCAATAATTATTAGGGGATCCAGAAGGGTGGATTTCTTATGAAGATCTTCATTGACTCAAGAGACACCTTATGATGGCCCTAAAGTATCAGTAATTATTAGGGGATCCAGAAGGGTGGATTTGTTATCTAGATGACATTGACTGAAGAGACACCTTATGATGGCCCTAAAGTATCAATAATTATTAGGGGATCCAGAAGGGTGGATTTCTTATGAAGATCTTCATTGACTCAAGAGACACCTTATGATGGCCCTAAAGTATCAGTAATTATTAGGGGATCCAGAAGGGTGGATTTGTTATCTAGATGACATTGACTGAAGAGACACCTTATGATGGCCCTAAAGTATCAATAATTATTAGGGGATCCAGAAGGGTGGATTTGTTATCTAGATGACATTGACTCAAGAGACACCTTATGATGGCCCTAAAGTATCAATAATTATTAGGGGATCCAGAAGGGTGGAATTCTTATGTAGATCTTCATTGACTGAAGAGACACCTTATGATGGCCCTAAAGTATCAATAATTATTAGGGGATCCAGAAGGGTGGATTTCTTATGTAGATCTTCATTGACTGAAGAGACACCTTATGATGGCCCTAAAGTATCAATAATTATTAGGGGATCCAGAAGGGTGGATTTCTTATGTAGATCTTCATTGACTGAAGAGACACCTTATGATGGCCCTAAAGTATCAATAATTATTAGGGGATCCAGAAGGGTGGATTTCTTATGTAGATCTTCATTGACTGAAGAGACACCTTATGATGGCCCTAAAGTATCAATAATTATTAGGGGATCCAGAAGGGTGGATTTCTTATGTAGATCTTCATTGACTGAAGAGACACCTTATGATGGCCCTAAAGTATCAATAATTATTAGGGGATCCAGAAGGTTGGATTTCTTATCTAGATGACATTGACTCAAGAGACACCTTATGATGGCCCTAAAGTATCAATAATTATTAGGGGATCCAGAAGGGTGGATTTCTTATGTAGATCATCATTGACTTAAGAGACACCTTATGATGGCCCCAAAGTACTTCTTAGAGGATCCAGAAGGTGAAGATTTCTTATGAAGATCTTCATTGACTCAAGAGACACCTTATGATGGCCCTAAAGTATCAGTAATTATTAGGGGATCCAGAAGGGTGGATTTCTTATGAAGATCTTCATTGACTCAAGAGACACCTTATGATGGCCCCAAAGTACTTATCAGAGGATCCAAAAGGTGAAGACACCTTATGATGGCCCTAAAGTATCAGTAATTATTAGGGGATCCAGAAGGGTGGATTTGTTATCTAGATGACATTGACTGAAGAGACACCTTATGATGGCCCTAAAGTATCAGTAATTATTAGGGGATCCAGAAGGGTGGATTTGTTATCTAGATGACATTGACTCAAGAGACACCTTATGATGGCCCTAAAGTATCAATAATTATTAGGGGATCCAGAAGGGTGGATTTCTTATGAAGATCTTCATTGACTCAAGAGACACCTTATGATGGCCCTAAAGTATCAGTAATTATTAGGGGATCCAGAAGGGTGGATTTCTTATCTAGATGACATTGACTGAAGAGACACCTTATGATGGCCCTAAAGTATCAGTAATTATTAGGGGATCCAGAAGGGTGGATTTCTTATCTAGATGACATTGACTGAAGAGACACCTTATGATGGCCCTAAAGTATCAATAATTATTAGGGGATCCAGAAGGGTGGATTTCTTCATTCAATGATACTTACTAATTTATCCAAATGTTGTTAATATTGTCCAGATCTACAGTGACTTACAAGAGAGACTCGATGAGGTAACCAGGCCTCGAAATATTTATCAGGGATCCAATTTAATAGGAAGAAATCATATCTGAACCAATTAGCACTGAATTAGTCCTGAATCCAAATCTGTAGCGTGTTTCTACTGACATCATGGAACAAAAGTGGAAGTTAAGCTTTACATTCAAAACTGTCCTTGTAGGAATTTTGATAACATCACAATTAATGATGAATGTGTTTGTTGTTTTGTTTGTTGTTTTGTTTATTGTTGTGATGCTTTTCTTCCAACTGTTTCCCTTAAGTACCTTATTGTATAGTGAGGACAGTCAGCCAATAGGATTACTAATCGTGTGCAGCAGTGTTTTATTTGATATTAAACAGATATAAATCTGTAATAATCCTTTTAAATAACACATGTTATAAACTGTGTATAGACGTACAGATAATACAGCAAGCTTATTCCTTGTCAGAGGTTTTCATCACAGGTGATTTGGAGATAGCAAATGTTTGAAAGTTTTAGGATTGATAAATATCAGTTTGTGATGTTTTTGTTTTAGCCATGTACTGACCAGCGCGTTGTTATATTGCCCATCCAATTCTTACTTGACGTCATCACTTTAGCAACTTTTATGATAATATAGCTTATTTGAAGGAAAATACTTTGGAGAGTTCCATATTTCAACAAGGGTTCCAAGGTCAAGGTCACTGATTTAAAAATAAATAAATATTAGGTGATTCATATTCTGTCTCTGGATTGTCCATGAAAATTTCATATATATTTTTTTTCATAAAGTATTTAGCCCTTTTTCCATTGTTTTTTAATGTGAGTGAAAAATTAAATAAGACATTGAAGGTTATTTACATAAGGAGCAGGACACAGCCAGCCATGTTGTAGACATTTCCAATATTTGTCTTCAGATACTGAACTTTTTATTCATTTTTATCAAAGACGTTACACAATGTGATTTGTATTGTATTCTGACGTCAGAAAGACAGATACTTTATGAGAGTAGCTATGGTGATAGAATAATTAATAGCTATGGTGATAGTATAATTAATAGCTATGGTGATAGTATAATTACACTTGGTGGTACATTTTTATCTTAATGCATTTAGCACATCTTAAATCAAAAGAAATTAACTGTTAACAGTTTGAGTTGAAAAAAAAGTACATGATGTGCTGTTTCCCTATTTTTTTAGCCGATACATTTTCTGTGTTACTTGACCAACTCACATCATCCTATCGCCTGTTACAATTTCTCAATAGAATCGTGTCATTTGGCAGTCCTAGTGAAAATAGCACCCATATTGGTACAACTGAGCCACACTCCTGACAAGAATATGTTTACAGCTAATTCTTACAAACTCATTATACCATGATGAAGATGCTAACATCTGACATGACTTGAAGGAAAAACTTGAGCCACTGATTTCTATGAACAACTACATCATTGGAATCAGCCCTGTGGGACTTGTATGTCAATGATGAAAGAGCTTGCACTGGTCGTTTTACACGAAAAGCTTCTCCTCCTGCAACAGGTCACTAAATAAGCTTGGAGACTTACTACGTTCTAGAACAAGCTATTTTGTCAATTCTAGAATCAGGGATGAGGCAGGCATTGAACACGGCTGTCGCCAGCATTTCCAGATAAAACTCAATCTGTTGCATGTCTGTGTTAGGTAATGAACGCAACAAATTGTCTTGATTGGAATGGAATTGGGTTTTTTACAGTCACAGAGAAAAAAGGGCTTTTTTATTGGGAAGAAAATGTTCTGTTATTGCAGTCTGTTTCAGCTCCAACATCCCACGAGAGAATCAGACATTTCACTAACACATTTTTGCCCCGATTTCTGTGTCTATTCATTTTTAGGAAAACAAATTCAAGCAAAACTTGTCTTTTATTTTTATCTTCACTTAAATTTTTTTTTTTTTTTTTTCTTTGATTGGAAAATTTCATTTGAATTTATTTTGTTTTTCTTAAAATGATGTTTCTGTATACGAATATCACTTTCTATGCAAATTGAATTTTTATGTCCTTGAAGGGAGAGCATATAGTCACTGCTTTGTCAATCCATTTGTTCATCCCTTTGTCTGTCCATCCCTCCGTCTGTCCATCCATCATAACTGTGTCCAGATCATATCACAAAAGCTATAAGCGATATCAACATGACACTTCATAAGGTAGATAGATCTAGATAAGGAGAAGTATAGGGTACAAGAACCATAACTCTCTTTTTCATAATTTAGAGGTTATTGAAACTTAGTGTATACATCAGTCATACTAAGAGAATGTGCAGTGTACCAAATTCAGGGCCTGAAACTTCTTATTTACAGAATTATTGCCCTTTGATTAAATTTTGTTTTCAGTAAATTTGTTTTCGGGGAGCATTCATCACTTTCATAGATACTCTTGTTTCCTGATGTAATGAAAACGTTTTGATGATTAAATATAAAAGGAAGTTACACCTTAAAACTGATTTGTGAAATGTCCTGTCATATAATGTACTATGTAAACAACATGATATATGTGTTTGGAAAAATTGTATAAAGTATACAAACATGTATATATATAAACAATCACACCTGTGTGCGATATTTGTAAGTCAAGCATGCGTGTAATTGTCTTGATGGTGAATGCGAGACATGGATTCCAGC